AACTTTTCAGATTCTCGATCTTGTTTTGCGATGCTTGTATCAGCGTCTGATTGAAAGCACCCGCTATGGATGTCATAGTTTTTTTTGTTAGTCCTTGATTGTCATAAAGCCGCCAAGAATGCTGTGAGATATTGATTGGCATTCCCCCTCCCCCCCCCCTCTTTTTTTTCTCATTTTCGTCACATGGATGGCATGGATACAAATGAAACATCCGAATTTCACTCTACCTAGCATGAGTAGGATAGTTGCATGTAGGATACGATCGTTCTCGCGAACACAAGGAACTCGCTCAGGCCCACACTCACGTACGACCGGGATCTCAAAAATCCAAGTCGCGGCGTACGCGCGCGTTTGCATGAGTCGACCCTGAATTTATCGAAAGGATGTGGGAAATCGAATTTATTAACCAGATATGGCCGAGGAAAGTCCCTTTTGGATTACCGATTATGAAAGAGTGAGGGATCCGGAGTACCGCGAGTACTGGGAAGGCGAACAACGATGAGGAAACTTAAGAAACCTGAAATTCCCTTGTCTGACAGAGAACGACCGGCTGGGCGCGGGGGATTTCCATTGGGCTATAACCCGCGACTCGAGGGGCCCAGACTACCCAGATACGGACAACACTCAATACTACGTATCCCCGGGCTTCGTCGTTATCACTACCAGTTTCGCTCCCTTCCATCTCCTCCTCCCATATCACCAGCTCACAGTGGTACCTTGGAATTTCGTAGCTCGCTATTGGCCCAGCCCACCGTGCGAAGATTGCCAGCAGCACCAGACACGCCAAGCTTCGGGATTTATCCGGCCAACCGAACCGAAGCTGAGCAGCGGTTGCACCACCTCCGCTTACGGTCCACCCCGACGGATTCTGAAGCTTGTTACGAGCGGCGCCGACAGCACCACGACCGCCGGACTAGGGACCAACCGCGGCGACGCCAGTGGCAAAGGCCATAAGTCCCTTCCCCGAAGGCAAAGACGTCAGATACGATCCGTGCACACCATTTGCACCATTGTCCTTTAAGCTTGCCACAGAAGATCTCAGTTTTGACCTGGGACTCCACCCCCACTTTCCTAAAATCCTTGGCACACCCCTTTTTCACACTTCCGGGCCCCCATCGCACTCCGATCAGAAAGTCGCGTTGAGCGTGAGGTTGAGCGTCACCAGATTTGACAAATGCCCCCTGTCAGATGTCGAGATCAGAAGGAGAATCAAATCCGAGATCAAACACGCAATTAGAGTGGACTGGAGGAGAAAGACGAAGACGTGGAAAGGCAACAAGAAACAAAAGGGCTGGTTTCTGCACACGTGGGCCAGGGAGAATCGACTGACGGGAGTTCGGCCGAACAAAGGTCTGGTTATCTCTAATTGGTTGCTGGAGTTGGGCAAGGGAATAGGTAGTTAAGATGGTAATTGAGTGGAGATCTCTTAGTTATCCCTGGAAGGACCAGGACACTCGGTCCCTCAAGGCAGAAGTAGTTAGATAGAGTGCAGGGCCGCGGTGGGCCAATTAGGGGAGTGTTGGAAACTACGGACCCAGGCCCAAGGTACCGGGTCCGTTGGGCCGCCTTAGTCCCAATAGTAGCGGCATCAGTAGGAGATCCAGACACAGTTTAGTATACGCTCGGGAGTCCTAAAGAACTGTAGGCTAGAAAGTTACCTTTTGAATTGACTTACCATGAGGGCACGGGTGCGCAGCCCGTAGTTCGTTTGTTTATGTGGTTCGGGAAAGGTAAGGTATTGATTATGTTGTATGTATGTTTTGTCATGTTCGCTATACACAACTCGAAGAGTGTGTGTGTGTGGGGTGTCGGTTGGTGGTTTATTCACGATGTTCATGGGACGCTGGACCTAGTTTCCAGCAGGTGGCGCTCCCCATCAATAGACAGGAGAATGTATATGTGTGT